ATCATGATAGTACGAGATATACGTGTAGCATTATACATTGCAAATGAACGTTTTCAACCTAGGGATTTTTCTTTATTAATGCATTTATTAATGATACTTGCACTTACCTATTTCAATACAATTTAATGATTCACCTCAGCACTTTAATTTTTCTAAAACAGCTTCCAATTCCTTGTAAACGTTGTACTTACCTCAATATTGGTTGGTTATCGTATGCCGACAACCACGGGATGAAAACGAAACGAAGTCGATTTTCCCGCTCAACCTGGAGGACAATTGTACAATTCAATAACTGTACAGCCTAGTTCAGACAATGTGTATTTATATATATGTATCAAATATTTAACTGTTGAAACATTAACTTGTAGACAATTTAAGATTTGATATTATATCATCCTTGATCGTGCCTGTAAAAATGGCATGCATTTTCATGTAAATTTATATGTTTATATGAGAATATACATTATTATTATTATTTGACAGCAAGCACTGAATGATTTGAGTCTCAACCATCTTTTCTATTACGCGTGAAACCACAGACGTGATGTTGATGGGGCGGTAGTTGTTGATATCATCTATAGGCCCGTATTTATGGATAGGTACAATATAAGACTTCTTCCAGCAGTTAGGGTATTTCCCATCGCTTAATGATATTTAGTATAACTTGAGTAAGAGTAAATTCATGTCATTACCACCGTTTTTCAGCAGAACGGAAGGTACACCATCTGGACCAGTAGCGCTACTAAGCTTAAGATTTGCGACAGCTTTATCGATCTCGTGTGTGGTGAAAATTATGTCACTTAAACATTCGTCTGTTTTACGTGGGAAATCCACGACCTCATCGTTCTCTAAGGTGTATAATCTGGCGAAGTGCTTGCTAAACAGTTTACATATCGCCTCATTATTTTCGTAAGCAATGCCGTCTAAGTATATTATTTTCGGACAGGGTGTTTTGGAGTTCGCCAACCTACTTTTGGAAAGTTTGGCTATTTCTCCTAAGTTACGTGGTGCATGAATGGCCTGCATTTCTTCGTTTCTGAGGCCTATATTTCTCAACTCTTCAATTCTATTGAGAAGGGACGTAATGGCAATTAATGATGACAAGTCATGATATCTGTAGTATTTTATTGAGTGCTTTCGTAGACTTCTTCTAAACGATGTTGGAGTAGAAACTGTCAAGGACAGTATCTATGTCTGCCGAGGAGAAAAAGGCATCCCAGTCTTGGCAACGAATAAAAGACCGCGTTGTTTCCCAATTAGCCTTTGAAAAGTATGTGACTTTTACTGTCCGACGATGGCCTTTGCCTGCCCCACATGCTGCTAGGTTAAAGGTGGAAATGACTGTGTTGTGCTCGCTACCAGGGAATAAAGGCCCAACTTGAGTGCTAAAAGGTAGAATGTTCTGTGTGAAGATTAGATCCAAGATGTTAGATTTACGTGTGGGGTGATTAACATTTTGTGTCCATTCATAGGATCGACCGAATTTATAAAACAAACAGTGTAGTTAGAAACATTTAAGCTATTTCAGCGGATACTAGGCATGTTAAAGTCGCCAACTGTAATTTTGTAGTCAAAATTTAGAGAGGAGACGTGTTCGAAAATTTCACATAGATGGTTCGTTTTGTTAGTATCAGAATTGGGTGGGCGATATATACAGCCCAATAAAAGCCTTGTATTTAAGTTAGTGTAACCTCGCCTAGACTACTAGCTTGCTAGGTTTCTAGCCAGTCCCGAGTCCGGATAAAGAGGTAGGGTTAGGGCGTGGTGCTAGCAGCTCCACCCCCAAAACTTAACCAAACCGCTACAGAAAATTCAATACACAGATATATTAAAAATTCTAAAAATTTAAACAGTAACCCTATTTTTCGCTGGAATCGGGGAAGTGAAATGACGCAGGCTGGTGAAAGCCTTCGGAAAGCCAGTCAGCCGATGTGTCTTCATTCGATAAAAGCAAAAATAAGGATGGGTACCTGGAATGTTCGTACAATGTACGAAGCGGGAAAGGCTGCCCAGGTAGCCGCTGAAATGAGAAGATATCGAATAAAAGTGTTGGGAATCTGTGAGAGCAGATGGAGCGGAACTGGAAGGTGCCAACTACCAACTGGAGAGACAATAATCTATTCCGGCCACCCAGAGGACAACCGCGAGCACACCGAGGGAGTGGCCATCATGATGTCACCAACAGAAGCCAAAGCTCTCATGCAGTGGGAACCAATCTCCTCCAGGATAATGACGGCCAGATTCAACTCAAAAGGAAGGAAGGTTACAGTCACTCAATGCTATGCTCCTACAAACGTCTCAGAACAAGAGGAGAAGGAGGCTTTCTACAGACAACTACAAACAGTAATGGACAACGCCCCAAATGGCGATATCAAAATCCTGATGGGTGATATGAATGCGAAGCTGGGAGGAGACGATACAGGAAGAGAACTCACCATGGGTCGTGAGGCCCTCGGCGAAATGAACGACAATGGTGAACTCTTCTCAGACTTCTGCGCCTTCAATGATTTGGTGATTGGTGGCCGTGTTTTCAAACACAAGGATATACACAAGACGACATGGATTTCACCAGATGGAAACACCAAAAACCACATAGACTTCATCTCAATTTCAAGAAAGTGGAGACGGAGCCTACTGGACACAAGGTCAAGGAGAGGAGCAGATGTGGGTTCAGACCACTATCTAGTACAAGGGACTTTCAAGGTGAAACTAAAAGCCTCGAGGATAGCTGGGGATAGGCCACAATGCAAGTTCAACACTCAATTACTGAAGGACACAACCACAAAGGACACTTTCACTGCAAATGTCAGAGCAAAGCAGGAAACACTACATGACATCACTGAAGAATCATGCGTGAAAGACCACTGGAACTCTCTGAAAATGATTTTCAACGAAACGTGTTCAACGGTTCTAGGAAGAAAGAAGAGACAAGACAAGGAGTGGCTCTCAACGGACACTTGGAAATTAATAGAAGAGAGGAGAACGGTGGAAGAGAAAATGATTCAATGCAAAGACGGGCAAGAGAAGGAGACGATGAGCTCAACGTACACAGCACTGGACAAAGAGGTGAAGAAGAGTGATAGGAAGGACAAAAGACGATTCTGCGACAACCTCGCCACTGAAGCTGAGAAGGCGGCAGGCAAAAGGGACCTGAGGACACTATATCAGATAACCAAATCTCTATCCGGGAAGAGATCAACACAAGCGAAACCTATAAAAGACAGCCAAGGGAACCCAATTATCAAAGAAGGAGGAAAGATTAAACAATGGGCGGATCACTTCATAGGACTCTTGAACCGACCATCACCTGCGACCCGCCCAGAAATACCAATAACAGCACGTACACAACTTCAAGTTGACACCAATCCTACAGCGAAAGCTGAAGTCTTGAATGCAATCAAGCTTCTGAAAGTTGGAAAAGCAGCTGGACCAGATGGAATACCCCTGAAGCACTAAAAGCAGTCCCAGAGACTACAGCAAATATGCTGACTCCATTATTGCAAAAGGTCTGGAAGGAGGGAACGGAGCCTACTGACTGGAGGAAAGGTTACCTCGTGAAACTACCAAAGAAGTCAGTGCTACCAAGTCAGTTCTTCCATAAGAATCAGAAACTTGGCGGGCGGGTCACAAAGAATATTTCCAACAGGTTGCAGATCTTCTTCGACAACTGTCAACTATCTCTCTATACTGAAGATCAGAGGGCCGGGCCGGAAAGAATCACCAACAAGAAATTATGGGAACAAACAAACAAAAAAAGAACCAATCGCCAACCAACAAATATGCATGAGAAAGTGGAGATGGATTGGACACTCGTTGGGGAGGCCGGTTGGTGACACCGCGCGCGCGTCAGGCCATTGTTCGAGGGGAACCCGAAAGGGAAGCGGTGAGTGGGACGTCAGTGCAAGGGTGACATGGAGGAGATCGTGTGAAGAGGAGTTGAAAGAATATGGATTAACATGGATGCAGGCGAAAAGTACAGCAGAAGACAAGAAAATGGAGACGTGCAGTTGAAGCCCTATGTTCCACTAGGAACTCAAAGGAACAATAATATCAATAATAATAATTCACTAAAAGGAGTAGATAGTAACTCGAAAGGCATAGGTAAACACGGTACTGTTACCAATTGCTATGCAGGGTTCTCGTGCCACCCAGGAACAGTGGATGTAAAGCAGTGCTTGGGCCGAATTAACGGACTCAAGTACTTCAAACACTATTTCAACTCTCAACTGTACCTAGTCCTTATTAATTCTAGATCTATCCTGACAAACTGACGAAGCCCAAGGCACACATACTGGTATATAAACCTTCATAATTATTATTACTGAATCTTGGTGCAACTCTTATAATAATATATTATCATTTTTGGCGCGTTACGTCCAATTCTCATCAATTTAAATATATTGCTAGATAATCTTTTACCCTTGACTCAGAAAGGCATTCGAACTTTTGTGGCTGTTAATCCCAAAAGAAATATTTGGGTGGAAAACAATCGCATGAAAATAATTGCAGATAACGGTTGATTATTAGGTTGCATGAACAGAAAACTAGCCGTCTGTTCTGCGGTTTACATTGATATATCGTAGGTGATGTCTCATGCACAGACTGAAGAGTTAAAAACTTGTAAGAGACTCATAACGAAACAAATGATGTTTATTGTTTTATAAAATCATGTTATATAAATATAGACAGTAATTATGGCAAAATTTAATGTTTAGATCCCATCACCTGATGATAAGTGTTTGTTTGTTTAGTTCGCACTATCAAATAGGTTACGTTAGGTGTCTGTTCAAAAGTAGTATCCACTGTAAACACTTTTTTCCAAAGTCTGTTCTAGGGAACATCTGTCAGAGGAAATAGTTGTAACCACTTTGATTTTGTGATATAATTACTGAAGCACACCTGTACTGGAAAAATCATCTGATACTGTCAAGGCACATCAAATACCCGATGATTGTTGGTCCATCTTTATTTTGTTGAGTTTCTGTTTTATCGTAAATTTAATGACAACAGTTGATCATCTTTCCAATACTGAATGTACCGGTCTAGGTGAAAAATACTATGACTGCAATAATGCATCACATACATGTGTTTTTACTAACTATTTAAATGTGTGTTGGACAAAACCTGATTCAGTTTTATGTGCTCTAAACAAAATAGAAACTGCGCTTAACTCTTTGCTGTCGCATAAAGACATCTGTAATGATATTTGTTCCTGTATCACAGCCAATATTGAACGTCTGATCAGTGCGCTGGTTTTTTCCTTATCATCAGAAGACATTCTATGTCGTCGTTCCGCCACACAAAATTTGCGACTTATTTTGCGTGTCGCGCTGTTCTCTTTGAAGTTGTCTAGGTTAGATGGTTGTGTTAACTCCCTGATTCGCCACGGCCTATCACTCGCTATTCATTCTAGCGTGAGATTGTCACTATGTGCAGCACTCCCGCAAATATTTACTGCAGACTTATTTCATTCATACAACAGAGAAAATATTGCTCAAGACTTTGAACCCCTTCTGCGTAGTTTAGTTGACTGCTTCATTTCATCTCTAGGCAATAAGTCCGCTTACAAGTATGCATTTGTTTCTTTGCTCAAAATGTTCGGTGAAGATTTCTGCGCTTTTCTCCATGATACTTGGCAGTGTAAAACTGCTGACGGAGTTTTGTCTAGTGCTCACCTTAAGTTGTTTCACCGGTGGTCAAATGGAATTCTTCTGACAAATAAAGAGAATAACGTCGGTCAAAATTCTATACACCACTCGATTTATCCACTTGAAAACAGTGAAAATCTATTTCAAATTTCAAGCTTGAAGTCTTCCGCACCCACTAGCATGACTAGTTCGGATTGTATTCAAACTGGTGCTTGTATCATTCGTTATGAAGATGTGTGTCAACTTTTATCAAAGTCCACATTTATCCAATTAGTGGGTCACTTTAAGAGGGTAAATAACAAGCCAGAAAAAGATGCTCATGTGATTCATCAGGCTGCAGAGGAAATTCTGAAAACTGTAGTTTCTAGAATTAATGCTTCATCAAGGAGAGGAACCATATTCGAGTACTTCTTCTTAGAAAAGTCATCTAAAAGGGAGTTGTCACAAAATCGTCCTCTCATATGTCTCATGGAATTGTTGAAAGTGTTTATTCGCACTTCTAATCTTAACGTAATTCTCTGCTCTTTAGAAGTAGCAACATTACTCACGCATTCACTTCAGTGTGCAGGTAGTGAAAGTGACAGTGAATTAATGAACAGAGATTTTACATTCAGCTTCTCTGACTCCGAGTGGTTTACACGTCAGCTTCTCAGTATAATTTGTTTTGCTTTGAGTGATAGTAATTTGGTCGTTCGGGTTGCTGGTACTAAGCTTTCACTTGCAGCGGGAAGTCTACCTTTCAGTGCTATGATAATTGTTCGTGAACTTGCTGGTGGTGTGCTTACTTACCATGATGAATATAATACTGAAGAACCAAAAAATGAAATCGAGTTTACAAATTACGAATTCCCTGTCAGCAAAATTGACCTGTTACACAAAGAAGCAGTCGATCTCATTACCACGTTACTTCTGACTTTTCCAAGTTCTGAGTTCGACCTAGCTGAGGTGTGTAAATTGGTCATACTTCCAGGATTAACTGACTTAAAACTACAGGTGAGTTGTTATGTACGTTATATGTTTAACATATGGGTTTTTGGATTGTATATATGTCTTATTTGTGAGAGATTTTAATGTCTTTCAAATTTTTGCAAACATGTCAGACGTTGATATTGTGATCACTAAACATTGTCACATTTTCGGAAGCAAATATCAGCTTCATAGTGTTAAGTGTCTGGATGTGAACCAACTAGTCGTGGACTCTATCTACTTTGGTCTCAGTAATCCCCAAATATTAGATGTACCATTTAGCAAAGTCCAAAAACCTCCAACGTGAAACTTATTTTCACCAAAAATTAGACATATGCAGTGTTCTTCTAATGTTACTTAGTCGAAACCCAGTTGGCTGGGTCAGGGTTTTTATGCTCCAGACTGTGAATCACGCATGTTATGTGGGGGCTTATGATGCTACCCAGATTCATGGGTTGAAGTTGGTGGAGCGGGGCTCAAACCCTATTCTAGTGCTTGAGCCAGAAGGCCATGTCTTCACAGTTTTCAAATGACAGGAATTAAGACTGTTCTTCATCCTATCTTCAATCAAAGTTCTGCAGGCAATCTAATATTCATTACTGTCTTATTGACATGATTTATCGTCATCTGGCTTTCGTTTTTCACATAGCACAGAAGTACACATCGTTTCACCAACGACTAAACAGAGCTAAAGGAATGCTTGATTGTCTTCAGTTTTGAATTTTTTCTACTATCCCACTTTTTGGATTTGTGAATGTAAACTATTTTTGTTGAAATACCAATGGATGGAATAAGTTTTGAGCACCACCAATGTGTCTGCTGAGTACCAACATTTGTCACAATGTTGGTGGAGAATTACTGAGCAGTAGACTACACTGTGGTATAGAAAGTGATATAAATTAGACCATGATGTGTGCCATCATTAGAGGGGATATTATGTAGCTAGATTTGATGCAACTAGTGTGTCTCAATTAGTTTATGAATCGCTCAGTCTGTGAGTTTTGTTTTGCCTGTTATCGCTCTGGCAGTCTTGATACTCCTTGAAGGTTGCATGTAGATATATAAGATGAATTCTGGAAGGGGCCAGTATTGTTTTGATTTCATTTGAGTGCACTATGTTAAACAATGATGTGAATGATTTATCTACTTAATGACTATCCACTTAATGTTTTTGTCACCAATATGGGTATTTCAATATGTAGTGTCAACTGATTCTCCTAAACACTTTACTCATTGATACGGCCGTAAATACCTGTCTGCCAATAGTTTGTATCGGTTTTGAAAATCCGATCTTATTTTTATGTAGGCTTATATGAGTGAGTAGTTATTTTTGCTTTCATCAGAGATTATTTTCCAGCAACTTCTTTTGCATCCAAGTATTTGTTTTTGGATTAACAGCCACAGGAGATTGAATGCTTTCCTGAGTTAGAGGCGAAGGACTGTCTAGTTATTTACTTGAACTGATGCGAATAGGAGGTTACGCGCCAAAATCCGAGAATGATTTTAGTTTATTTCCCCCAGAAAGAATATATTAATAATGACTTAGTGTGTAGTTAACAGGTGACTATAGTGAGGTCAGTTGAAATCTGCAAGGAAAGCATTTGCTCATTTTGTTGTGGACGTAATAGATTATTATATAACCGTCCAATACATCATCCCTCCCCTAAACCGAGGTAGTTTCTCTGAACTACTACCGTAGAATATTAAGTTTCATATTCTCTTAGGTATATGGTATGTTGCCGTCAAACAGATAATTGCAACTGAGTTACTCAATAGGGTTTTTTATTACTAAGGTTCACTCGTGTTTATTATTTCAAGGCCGGAAGCAATTGTACATCTTTCCTAACAAGTGTATGGTGTATCACTCTAAATCGATAGAATTTTGTTCTATGTACGTGCATATCTTGTGTTAATTTGCGTGCTCTTCCACCATAACGTCTCAAACTGGCATACGATAAATTGGGATTGTAATGTCATTCCCGTCTGTAACTAAAAGTCCGACACAATTCCTTTATACTTGTGCACTAGCTATCAAGTACATAATGATAATGGCCTGCGTTATTAAAAGCTTGAATTGTTCGTCTTCGTTGTTAAGAATTGTCAAGTCACTAGTCGCTCTGTATGAGTATTACACTGTCTGGTGTATAGTGCTGCTGAAACACCTATCAGCTTTAGTAATTAGCCATACATCGCAGTGCATTACTAAAGGTTCCTAAACTCTCTTTGTCTCCTTCTTGAGTAGATATGATGAGGAGACACTGTAAGTGCACAGTTTTTCCGATTCAGTATATGCTGCGATTTCTTCATATATAGCCGTTTTCAGTTAATCACATAACTTAACAAGATTCAATGTCCGACTGATAGCTATTGCCGTAGCGTGGTGATCAAGCTTGCATATCCCAATGACTCAATGGTCTGTGCCTGCCGAAATGAATGTCCTTTCAGGTCCTGTCTTTGGAGTAATTTTGTTTGGATTTTAGTTAGCCTATAAGCACCTATTAATACGGTGCTTGGTTTCTGCGTTAGGCTCGTGCTGCTGGCTAGTAGGGATGTGGCTGGAGGAAGGCGTTTCTGTTGAATGAGCAAGTATGCGGTCCTCTTTCTCATAGAACTTGGGATTAGAATATGTCGACCCCAAGACTTTTACATTCCAAACTAATCGATGAAGGTCTGGTGCGTAGCTTCACACTTTAGTCATGTGGTTAATTTGAATTTTCTCGATGATTCTCTCAAGTTTTTCGCCCATTGTTATTCTTCATTAATTGGTTATTGTGTGGTCTTTAGTTAGTCAAGCACGCCACACCGCTCAACTTAGCGATTCTGACAGGTATTTTGCCTCTCAGATTACCGTGGTTTTATTCTGATCGCTTACTCTTTGTTTAAGTCAATTTTGTATTTCCTATAGATTGATTATGTTTGACCGAAAGGTTCAATCACTGTTGACATGTCGGCTCCCAGTACAGACACTTCGATGATGTCTGTGGGCTAACATGATGTTATTTGTTGGATAATTGTGACCAGCAGTGGAATCCATGGTGTGCATTTCGTCCTATTTGCGGCCAGTTAGCTGTATATACCTGCAATCTCCAGAGTATGATGGTGTTGCCACTGATACTCAAACCCGACACTCATCGTCTCAAACCACAGAGCCCAAGTGGCCTAGTCAGTAATGCTTCAGCAACTTTCTCTGTGGGAGTAGTCGGGATGTGGCAACCGTTCGCACACTTCCCTCAGCCCATAATGGTTTTTGCATTCATTGGCACCAGTGTCTGCATTCACTTCTAGTGACGGCTTGTTAACTCCTTTAGAGATATAAAGTGTTAGTGGTGCGACGGAAATGCACTCAATGAACCTCTTGGTTATCAGTAGTCATGATTTTAGGATTTAACTCTGAGAAAGGAGTGCTAGTATTCAAAACTTTTGTTAAATATAACCATCTTTTAGTTGTGTTGCATTCTGTCTGTCTGTTTTCAACATAGAACTTTGCACCGATGCGCAGCATTTCAAGTCGCCACACTCCATGTAGCACACAGAGCAAGAGAAGAAAGTTAAAAGAAACGCAAAATAGTGACAGTAGACAGGGCTATGAGAGAAAAGGTATAGTAATAACGAAGAACAATAATAGTTTCACAAGGAGTGGATGCATATATGCCATGAGAACGAGGATTTTGAGCCATATCACCGATAGCCTCTAGTCATTAGTTTCTACCGTCTCGAGTATCCCAACCAGCCAAGAAGTTACACCTACCTACACGGCTGGCTTAAACTAACTGTAGTGGATTTGATTGACTGGTGGCATGTTTTGGTTTGACCGCCGCTAGCTCTTTTCAAGTCTGACCCTACGTCAGCTAACATTGATCGCCGAGGAAGGCGACGCCTGGGCATACGTAACACATGTCCTAACCATCTCACTCGGTGTAACTTCACAGCCTCGTTGATTGATTTCCCCTCCTTACCTAGCACTCGACGCTTAACCTCAATATTGCTCACCCTATTATACCAGTTCACATAGGAGATAGAACTAAGACACCTGTGATCAAAGACAGCTAGCATTTTCATGTCCTCCACTCTCAATGTCCAGGTCTCGCCCACAGCCATAAAGGAGGACGGAGCGGACTGATAAGCAGTACACCCGCCCTTTGGTCGATAGCCAAATGGATATCACGTCTACGCCAGAGACGGCGTAAACTGACATATGCGAAACTAGCCTCTATATCCGTGCTGAAATTTCGTCAGCGATAAATCCGCTGGCACTGGCTGATGCAACTTCCCAAATGAGTGAAGTGGTCAACGTGCTCTACCACTTCACTCCTGTCTATTTCTAAGCTAGGAGTCAAAGTAGTCCAGCCCTGTAACATCATCTTACATTTGGCGGGAGCGAATCGCATGCCAAACATTCGTAGACTGCAACTCAAGGTGTTCAGGAAACTCTGCTGTATTTTGTCAGCGTCTTCACCTAAAAGGACTATATAATCTGCATATTCCAAGACAACGAGATTATACCTTGGTAACATGTCAATTTCTGAGTTTCTGAAATGAGTTAGGGTTAAGTCCAATAGTACATCTATGATGAAATTGAATAGAACAGTGGGCATTCCTGTCGTACACCACTAGTTGTCACAAGTTCAGATGACAACTTGCCGGAAGCCCTCACTTGGTTGCATTAGTTCTAGTAGACTGCCTTGATCAGTGCAATGTATTTTGTCGGCATTCCCTTTACAGCCAAGCATCGCCAGAGTACCTCTCGGTCGACAGAGTCGAATTCCGCCTTCAAGTCGAGAAATATGGCGATTGTTGGATGCCATTAAGGATGCCTGTGTCCTAGGATTTTCGTAGGGTGAAGACACTCTCTTCCTGGTGTAAAGCCTGCCTGGTTCTCCCGTGTTTGTTCCTTCTGTGAACTGTCTAGCCTACGCATGATTCTTGAGCCTAGAACTTTAGATACCATATTAGTCTAGCTAATACCCTATGGTTATTGCAGGAGGACATGTCTCCCTTCTTGTATATGGGGATAATCCACTACTTAC